CTGAGCGTGGACTGGATTGTTTAAACTTTGCACGGTCTTGATTCCACCTGATGCTGATTAGAGGGTCTGCTCCTGGTCAGCTTTAAAAAGCTGATTTTTACCATAGAGGACATCTGGTGGTTTAAAAACAAACCGAAAACTTTTTTCAATCTTACCCCAAACACCAACATATAAATGGCAATATTTAATTACCAAAATTATGGTTATTAGTTCAAATGCACAATATTGTAAAGTTAATGAGTAAAGAATTAGTAATGAATGAATAAATAATTGAAATCGTTTTGATGAACACAAACATTTGAAATTGAGAAAAACAGAAGACATTTGTTGTCTTAGATTGGCCTTAGCGCATCTAATTTAATTGTTTTAGTTGCTTATAATCAAGAAAGTCTTGTTTCATATGGGCTATTATAAGCGGTACCAGTTTTTAAATGGCTTACCTTAGTCTCATATTCTTCAGTTGAACAGAGGTGGCAGAAGAGACTTTATCCCAAGTCTGCACAGAGCAGAGTAATCTGGAGTTTAACAAGTTCATTCCTCAATCCACAAACTCAGCAAATGTTTCCTGAGCTTCCACTGTGTGCTGGACACCTGGGCACTGGGGACACAGCAGTGAGCAAAACAAAGCCTCTGTTCTCCTGGAGACCACGTTCTGATATTTTGTCATTTTTAGCAGTTTAAAATTAAATGTGACTCAAACAAACACTCATGGATCCCTGAAACGCTTGCTCCCATGTTTTGCAGACTGGAAAGCACTTGCCTGGGGTCTCACAGTGAGTTCTGAGCAGGGCAGAGTCTAGGCCTGCGTCTCTTGAGAGGCCAGCGCGCTCTGTGCTGTGTTGCACCACAGCTGCCTCGCCTAGGGAGTGGCACAGGAGGAAAGCACGACGGAGGAAGGATTTTTGTAGATGTATAGATTGTAAGACCCCAAGTTGGTCAGGGAACATAAATAAAAGTACAGTCATCAGGAAAGACTGTTGTAACATTCCTAGCACAAAATGGAGGGCTGGTAATTTCACCAACTATTTTGAATCCTCTTTCTTTCTAATTCTGAACACATGAAATGTTTTCTGTTATACAGGTGCTTGTTGCCCTTTATGTGCTGGGATGTTAAGAGTTTTATTTGACAAAGAGAAACTGGATACCATTGCTAAGGTAAGTTGTTTTAGGTGCCATATACTTTTGAAACTGTATTGATAAACCTCTCAGTAATTGTACAGATAGAACGCGTCATCTCACCTACTTATAGATGAAGAAACTAATTTGCACAGAAGCAGTTTGCCCAAGGCCATATAGCTCACAACCAGGAGAATGGGGTTTGAGCTCAGGCTGTCTAGCTCCCAGTCCTTTGCTCCTTCCCTCTACAGCCTGGCCATGTAGTGACCTTGCTCTGCACATCAGGCAGCCTGGGCCTTTCTTAGAAAAGGTCTCCTGCTGGTGTAGTGAGTGGAGTGAGGGCTGGAGGCAAAACAGGCAGTCAGAGACTGCAAAATGCCCAGATGGTTGCAGGGTTACCTGCCCTCACGCAGTCCCCATTCCTCCGGAGGTGTGTCCACAGTCAGCCACCTTCCCGTGATGGTTTTGCCCCTTTCCCTTTTCTGGACCATCACTTTTGCTGCTCATTCTTGTGGAGACAGGGTTCCAGCCAACACCTGCCACTACCTAGAAAATGATGCCCATTTAGATTAAAATATCTATATTTTTACAGGAAGGCTTTAATTATTTCCCTGTAGCCTCTAACTCAGAACTGTCACTTAAACACTCTCACCAGGAGCACTTTTTTTTTTTTAATCTCTGCCACAAAGCTCAGCAGTCAGAAAAAAACCCATTGGGATGGGCTCTGTGGATATTCAGAATTTAGCCAGCAAGGCCTTGTTGGGGCCTGCACTTAGGGGATCCTTGGTTGAAAGAGCCTTCTTGGCTTAGGCAAGGTAGCAAGGCAGCTTAGGCAGTAATAAGGAATTCTTTTTTTTTTCGGGTAATAGAATTTTTTTCTCTTCCTAGGTAACAAACAAAAAGCCAATAACAGTTCTGGAAATACTTCAGAAAATCCGCATGCACGTGTCTGTGCCACAGTGTGACGTATTTGGATACTTCAGCATTGAATCAGAAATTGTGATCCTGATCATTCCTGTCGATCATTATCCAAAAGCTTTGCAGGTGGGTTCAGCACACTTGTGCAGCCATCCTATCCCTTTCAAGTTTGGCGGACTTGGGAGAGGGTGAGGAAATGGAGACATTTGGAAAGTTGGGCCAAGCTTGGGGCTTGGGGGATGGAAGAGAAAAGCATGCAGTCTCTGAGGGACGGGGCTGTAGCAGGTGAGCAGCTGCAGACAGGTCCACATTTGACAACAGAGCAGTTGAGGGAAAAGGTTGGGATGCTGTGGCTCAGAGTGTGCAGAGATGGAAGACATCTGCTCATCGAGGCCCAGGGAGGGCAGGGACTAACACAGGGACTGACACAGGTCACACAGTGACAAGGCCAGAACGAACTCCTGTCTCCTGAGGGCTGCACTCCCGCTGGGGAGGGGGAGCCCCAGAGCTGGTCTCATGTGCCCCGATTTTACTTCCTCAAAATTTAGAGGTGAACCTCACTCAGGCAGGCTTGAGTTTCAGCATCAACATAGGTGACGGCTCAAGGGAACAGGGTGAACACAGTGGTTTGTAAACTCTCTCAATTAGGAATCTCGTCAAGTCTAATTGCTTTCTTCTTAATGTGTACGTAGGCACTGAAAGGCCACTCCCTGTGACTGTTTAAGCATGAAAAGATAATGTCTAAATGTGAATAAGCCGTGAACAGGATTGTGGGAAAAGAAAGGGCAGTGCAGTGTGGGTCATACATGTCTTCTCTGATTATGATCTCCCTTGATGATGTAATTATTTGTGTAGTAAATTAAGACTATATTAAAACGTTACTTCACCTGAGAGAAGAACAGAGAAAGTGTATTCTTGATGTTGAAATCTGTCTGACTTGACCTTTTCACGGGTGCTGTGGTTTTATGTTAAAAGAATCTGATTATCCTCTCCCAGATCGAGGCCTGCAATAAAGAAGCAGAGAAGATCGAATCCCTTATCAACTCTGACAGCCCCACTCTGGCGGCCCACGTCCCCCTCTCTGCCCTCATCATTTCCCAGGTGCAGGTCTCCAGCAGCCTGCCCTCGGCTGCTGCTGTGGCCCAGCCTCCCTGCCACTCCTGCCTCTTCCTCCTCAGCCTGGGCCTCGCCTGGCACAGGGTCTGGACACAAAACTGATTGCCCATGAAAAGTGCAAAATGATCCTTGATCTAATTTTCTCTACCTTGGGAAAGACGTGCAGGACTACAGGTTTGTAGCTGAATAGTGGCCAAGTCAAAGCACTTGTCACCTCTATTCACCACACAGTATTTTTCTTAATTGCCAATATTAGTAGGATTTTTGTTTTGTTTCTTCCAGTGTTACAGTACATTCTTCCAAATCCTTTATGGTAAGAGGATGTCTCCTGGTAGATCACTGCCTTACAATTTACATTTTGCTCCTGAATGAGTCCCCAACTCTAAAACAAATTCTATGTCGTTGATAAATGAGATGATCACTTTTTAGAAAGATAACTCATTTTACTATGGGCTTTGTATCACAGAAACTTCATTTCAGAGTTCTTTTCAGTATTAAGGTGCCCCGAGTGTGTGTGTGTTTGTTTACAGATAATTCCTTATTCTGTCTGGAAGTGAAGGGTCACAGCAAAGAGCCACTGCTATTAGAGTATGAAGTCAAGATCAGGCACCTTTGGAATTCTCATGTAAATCATCAGGCAAATTTAATTTACAGAAATCTAATTCAGGAATCCATCTATTGTGTTAAGCAAAAACAAGCTAAGTAAATGGCACTCACATGATAAATGGTAAGTGACAGTTTCAGTGGTGTCTAATGTGTGTCTGTGAAAGGGAGAAGCTATATTGCATCAAAGCATCTTGCATTATGCATTTTTGTATTAACCAGATATGTATTCTTTGGTATCATCCAAGTTAAATTTAGAGTTTTTAAATATCAACCTTTAAACCAATTGCTGCTACTTATGTAATTGCCAAAAAGTGAAATAATTAGTAGTTCATGTAAATAATACATGATTTTTCTATTTTATTATGAAGAAGGTGAATAGCCATATTTGTAAAATGACAATCATGTGTGTTAACCCAGTACTTTCCGTTCATGAAGACACATTTGCTTTTTGTGACATGCACAGTGTAGATAAGTGTTCTGTCTGACTTTCTTTTTTGATATAGAATTATAAAGAATTGTGGTTTATATATTTAAAAGTGTCAATCTAAGTATTAAATGTATGCATGTTGTCCAAGAAATTGAATACTTTGAATGTGTTTCACAGTTTGAAATAAGCTATTCAGTGTAATACTTCTTGTTTATATGCACCTGAACTTAGATTTTACACGAAGCGTTTTTTTCAGTGTTATGTGTACCCTCTGAAATATATAGGGATATGCTTGTTATACCAAAATTTTGTTTAAAAGTGGGCACTTAAAGCTTTCAGAATATCTCAGTGTTGATGTAGCATGTTTGTTGCAATTGCTTTTTCTATATAAATGTCTTCAATGCAATATACTGGAAAGCTTTTCTATTATAATAAAATAATTTTTATATGATGATGTGTATTTCCAAGCAGTATGCATATTCAAAATACACACTGATCCGTCGTGGGTGAGCTATGTCCTTTGCATTGGAATAAGAAGTTATGGGAGTGTTATTCTTGGGGAAGTAGAGCAGCTGGGACAGAGCTAGTCAGAGCCAACCCAGGTCCGACCAGAGGCCAGGCTGTGGCAGAAAGTCAAGTACAAAGACCCCAGCTCTAGGTCTTCTGGACCCAGGAACAGACAAGGCAGTTCTACTTCCCACTGCCTCAGCCGATATTCCAGCCCCAGGGGACGTCCTGCAGCAGAGGGAGCTTTGCACTGTGGAGACGGAGCCTGCTGATCAGAGCCCTATGTTCTATCAACCAGGTGAGGCTGAAGCCCAAAGCCTCCACCTCACTCCCATTACGTGTCTGCTGGGGGTCAGCTGCACTTCTTCTCTGCATCTCCAGGACCCACCCACTGACCTCGCAAAGGGAAGAAGATGGCGTAGAAAACCACAACTGGCCCTTAGGGCTCTGCTTAGAAGTGACACTGCCATTTCTGCCGACGTCTCATTGGCCCAAGCAAGTCACGTGGCCACTCCTGAGTTCAAAAGGTAGGGATGTATCATCTTCTGGTTGGTGGTGGTGGTGGTGATGGGGGTGGGGTGCGTGTTGAGGAGAGAAGGAGCTGGGGGAGGGACCATGAGCATTTTGAACAATAGTAACAGTCTACCGCAGTGGTCCTTTCTCTTCAGGATAGGACCACAGCCAGGACTGACTAAATTTCTTATTAGAAAAGCAGTAGAAGTTTCATGGCCCGGGAAGAAAATAAGAGAAATGAGAGAGGTGCTTGGGTATGGAGAGGGGGAGTATCAAGGGAAGAAAAGATCTAAAGGTGGGTCCTGCCCTGAGGACACAACCATGAGAACTCCGATGTTGGTTATGGGCGAAACAGCCCAGGTCCGGTCAGTTCAGGGAGCTCATGCTCCTCACTTGCCTGTGGCTGTGGTGAGCAGAGCCCGGCTGCCTTGTGGACAGAGTGTCAGTGGCCTCCTGGCCTCAGAGCAGGACAGAGGCCCTGCTGGCTGGCTCTCCAGCATTCTGCCCAAGGCTGCATAGGGACCTTGACTTGAGATCCTGTGGGAGACAGGGGGGCTTTGGGGAGAGAGAAATGAGGTTCCTGTGCCCCTTTAATTTCTCCAAGGGCTAGTAAGGGAGGGCCTGAAAGTCCAGGGGAAAGTGGTTCTGCAGGAGGAAGACAATTTAGAAGATGAGGTAACCGCATAGAAAGTGGACTCCAGAGAAAGATTCAGAGGCTCCTCCAGAGACAGATTCAGAGGCTCCTATGGCTGTGGGTAACAAAACCAAGATACTAGAAAAACAGATGAAATAGCCTCCTATCCAGCCTACAGAAAGTAATTGGGCAGGAAGGGACCCTAAGAGGGTCATGGGCCTGGCCTGGGTCACATGCCCACCTCTGTGACAAAGGATAGTTAGGGGAGCTTCGGCCCCACCTCAACCAGATGGAATGGATTTCTTACAGGAAATGTGATTCTCAGATCCTAGGAGAAGCCTGCTAGGTGTGTCCTCTGGGGAGTATGCATCTCTCTAATAGGCTAGTAGCACCCAAATCAATTCAGCCTGTGAGCACAGAGCCGGGGACACACCTGGAGGTGTCGTGCCATCAGCCACCAGAGCCCAGGAACAACCAGTGGGGTGCTTTGTATGATGGAGCTATTGAAACAGGGAATTATCCAAAGTGGCTAATAATAAAATACTTGTTGTCCCTCGAGCAAAAATGGCAACAAAGAGGAGAGACTGTGATGAGTGCAGAATTTTAAATCAGTGCAAAAAGAAGCAGGCCAACTCGGGGAAGGTCCTGCTTGCCTCCTGGATGCCTCACTCCAGAATCAGCTCAATGGGGGGCTTCTCAAGGGCTCCAGGACAGAGTGTCTGGGCTTAAGGCTTGATTGTCACTGGATGACACCAAATAGTTGGTCTCTCCTAAGTCATCATTTTTCTGTAAACCAGGGACAGCAAATGCACATCATTCATGCCACCAAATCCTCATTTGATGTCCATGGTAAAGAGATCACAGCTTTGTCATGGTCTCCTTGTCGCCATCTCCACTTTAAGCTGAGCTTCAAACACAGGGTTCTGAGCAAGATAAAACAGGGACAAGAGTCAGTGTCTTCTTTTGCTGCCAGCGCCTTTTCTGAGTAAGGAAAACATTTCTCAGAAATCCCTTAACAGTTGTTCCTTGTATCTCCTGGACCAGGACGGGATTGTATTCCCACCCCTAGACAACTGGCCAAGGGGAGCAGGATGGCCATAGCTAGCCAGTCAGGGACTGCAGACATTGCTGTCGCAGCCAAGTCGAGGTGCAGGAGGGCACGTGTCAGAAGGCCAAGACCAACAGTATTTGCCTCAAGATAAAGCTGGTTTTTGTTTTGTTTTGTTTTGCAATCTCAACTTTTTAGGGTATAAATAAGAAAAATTTTATTTTTCCAGTAACTGCCTGGGGCTGTGCTAGGTGGGAAGCCGTTTCCAGCAAGGTAGCAGAGCCCCATGACAACGCTGTCTGATGCCATCCTTACCTTTAGTGCTTTCTTCCAGCTACTTAAGCAGCCTCACTTTGTTCCTCAGGCCTCTGTCCTGGTCATTTTAAAACTTCAATCCCATATCCAATGTGAAGGCCTCTTCTGCCTCCTCCAGCCTAGGCTAGATGGGTTCTTGGAGGAGCGGGGATTGGAGATGTGGGCTTTTTGCCACAGACATAGGTAGGGCCCATTTCTCAGTGACAGTGAACTTGTCATGGTGTCTCTAGTGGCATCAGTCACAGACAGTCACTGGATGTCTTCCATACAAACTACGAGATATTTCATTCCTAGTAAGAAAGCTTGTCGACCAAGAGCTGTGTGGCCTTGCCCTGAGCTCTGGTTTGCCTGTACAAGACAGGAGTAGGTAATCTAATTGTACAGACTTGGATATGTGAGAAGGGGGAGAGAAAATCTAAGAAGGAACAGACAGAAGACTTCCCAGGGCTTGATTTGAGCTGGGCCTGGCAGAAATAGGGAGGCTCTGGCAGACTGCTTTGAGGAGAGGCATTCGAAGTAGAAACTACGGCTGAGTGAAGATGTAGAAGCAGGAGAGTCGGTCCACCCCAGGGGTGGAGCTGACAGCCTGGGAGGGGGTGGTGACAGGAGGTAAGGCAAGTCAGATGTGCAGCCTTGAATGCCAACCCAGAATGGCACACAAAGCCTCTGGCCCCGCCCTCCCAGCTGTACTGACTGCCTGAATAGCTCCGGTGTGCGTAGAACTGTGGCCATCCAACCTCAGTGTCACCAGAGACCTTCGAGATCACCCACTGATCTCGTTATCAAGCTGTGCTCCCTTCCCCTCTGTCCTGTGAACATCCTGGACTCTACTGAGGAAACATTAACAGCCAGGCTGGGTGCCAGGCTTCCACGGCCTGGCCCCCTCCCTCGGAGTTCAGCTTGGGTCTGCTTTAGCTCCACCGCGAGAAGAAAGTTAAACGCACCAATGACACTGATGGCTTTGACACAGAATCCATAGGAGACATTTTCTTTTCCTTCATTTGACTAAAGAGTTTTCCTTAGGCCTGGCTGGTGAGCATCAAACCCACACATTCCCACAGAGGGCATGCTGTTTCTCAAAGGGCCCAAAGGCCCTGCCCCTTGCTCCCTCTCTCCCAGCTGCTTTGTGAGCTTTGCCAGACGAGAGAAAGGGAAAGCTGAGGCATTGCTCCTCGGGAAGCCCCTTTCGTCAGTCCAGCAGTCTTGGAGCTGAGCAGTGGACTTTCATTTCGTCCCCAGAGGGCAACCCTCCCGGAAACGGTCACAGAGTGAGTCAGGGCAAAGCTAAGTCCGAGGCCAGGTCTGGGCTTTCCCTGGCATGAGGCAGCTGGACAGAGTTGGTGTTTCTCAGGGCTGGAGCCAGCCATGCAGGAGAGCTCCATGAAGGTGGACCCCAGGGGTGGGCTGAGTGAACGAAGTTCAGTGCCAGGTCAGACTGACAAGGCAGGCCCCTGGGTGGGGTCCGACAGGTCCAAGGAGCAACAGGGATCATAAAAGTAACAGACACAACCCTCTTGCCCTTTCTTGACAGTGTCCACAGTGCTTTCCACCTTGCTCTCCCACTGACCCACTACAAAAGGGTGCACAGAGAGCGCACACAGAGTCTAAGGTCTGGTTAGGTTTTCAGGAAGTTCGGCTGGTGGGGTAAGAGTAAGGCAGGAAGCCTGCCAACACCTCTGCCCCCAGCACCACCCACTTTCATTTTTCCTAAATGAAGTTCACTGTATTGTTTTCTTATTATAAAAAATAACATGCACATTCCCCCAAATACCTGGAAATATAAGCAAAGGAAAAAGTCACCCGCAAGGCACCTTCCTCTCTCTGCTTCTGCCGGTGACCACAGAGTCCTTCTAGAACTGTCTCTGTGCCTAATTGGGGCAGATCCTTCCTCTGTCTGCATGGGAGCAAAGGTGATTACCTTGCTGCCCTGTGAGGGGAAGTTCAGGAATATGGGTTCATGTCTGGGACGTCGCCTGCTGGTTGGCACTTTCCGGCCTAACGGTTCACAGGTGGAAGCCACATCTTGGCCAGAACCTCAGCAGGCGATCAGCTGTCCTCCTGAGGGCTGCCAACTGTCTTCCCCAGCAGCCTCCCACTGGCCTGCACTGGAGAGGTGAGTGGCAGTTTTCCTGAGCAGTCAGGGGAGCATTTACATTGATCAGGACCCAGCAGGAAAACAGGTGGCCCACCCCAATTAGGATAATTTGAGGAAGGCTTAATGAAAGGGACTATTTACAAAGGTGTGAGCAGAATGTAAGAAACCACAGGAAGAGTGCAGGGCGTGAGCTGTAACATGGGGCTGTCAGCACCCCTAGACCCAGACCACTGAGCTGCTTCCCAGAACCAGGAGCTGTGCTGCCTGGAAGAGGCCTCTCCCCTCTCCCTCGGGTCTCCTCCCACTGCTGATCCCAGTCAGAAACCAGAGGACAAGGGAGCCTGCGGCAATGACACAGGTCAGCCTTCCCAGCAGAGAGCAGAGAATCAGTTTAGGGAAGGAAGTGAAGCAAAAGAAGATAACCAGCACCACAGGACAGGGCGAGGTCAAGTGACAGGACAGGCAATGGGACAGTATCTGCCTGCTCATCCCAGTGCCCCGCCCCAGATGGGAAGGCCTCTTGATTTCTACCTCTGGAGGAATCCCACTGAGCGCTCCTACCTTCGCAACCTCACTGTGTCCTCGCTTCCTCTCCATCCTCTCCTAGCCCTTCCTCACGCCCACATCTCCCAGAGTCTCTCTCCAGCTCCCTGAGAATCCCCAACCCACCTCCACTCAGAAGAGACGCTTCCTGAGTCCCACAGACGCGCTCCCAGCCTACAGCGCTATAGCTCCCAGCTGCACTAGTTCAGGCTGTAGGGGAAACTTTCTCCTGCCGGGCTTTGCTGGCTCCCCAGCGGAGGACAGGCTCTGGCCCAGAACCCACCTCGCCTTCCCCATCAGCAAGGAGCTGCCCAAGAGCAAGCACCCTCCTCAGCACAAGTATTCGTTTTCTTCCTAAAACAGCCCAGGCTGTCTCATGTGAAGAAGGGACATCATCTTCAAAATAAAATGAATTTGATCATGTGTCAGTGAAATGAGTCTATATACTTGGGTGCTTTTAAAATGGGTTGCTATTGTCAGTGTTTCTCCCATGATATATTCTAACTGGGTATTGATACTGTGTTAAAAAAAAAAAGCTGATTCTTAAAAATATTAGTCTTGCATTGGGCTGTACACCAGAGATTGACACATTGTAATTGACTGTACATAGATAGATAGATAGATAGATAGATAGATAGATAGATAGATAGATAGATAGATAAAATTAGTCTTGGACCTGGCTCCATTTGAAATTTTTTATATTAATTTAATGGATTTTCTTAGTTTTTTCCAGCCATAATGAAAACTTCACTCTTCTTTTTCCAGCATTTGTACCTCTAATCCCTTTCTGTTGTCCTAGTATTGGCTAGAATTCCCAAAACAATGTGGAATAACAGTGGTGACAGCAAGAGACCTTATGTTTTTTACTTTAATGGGAACATCCCATTGTTTTACTGTTAAGCATGATGCTTAAATATGCTTTAGTGTTTGTTCCAGGAGACCTCTCTTTATTCTGCTACAGGAAAACAACAGATTTCTTTAAAATGCAGTAATGGACATTGAATTGTAAGAAAGATATTTTCAGCATGTGTTTAAATGACATTTTCCCCTTGACTTGTTAATATTATAAATTGTGAATATATTTCTTAATACCCTTGAAATAAATTTTACCTGGTCATGATATATTTCTCTTAATAATACACTGCTAGATTGAATTTGCTGATATTTTATTTAGGACTTTGGTATTTATATTCTTAAAGGTTTTTTTGTAATTCTCAGATTGTGGAATCAGGATCATTCTAGCTTCATGACATGAAAAGAAGTTTTCTACGCTTTAGAACACATAAACAGTACCAGAATCATCCCTGTCTCAAAGCTTTGATAGAATTGTACTGCACATTCATTTGGGTTCAGTTCTATTTGGGTAAGTGGTAGTGTTTTCCCTTTTTTATGGCTATTTTTTTATGGTTCATTTTGATTTTTTCTCTTCTTATTAAGTATTTATAACTCATATTTTCCTAGAAAATTGCCCAATTCAGAAAAACTACTAGTGGAGAGTTGATATTATTTTTCTGAACACTTCTAAAAAGAGGTTACATCCTCTTTATTACTAATATAGTACATTTGAGTTATCTCTCCTTTTAGACTCTTTTATTGATTTGATTTTATAGAGATTTATCCATTTGATATGTCTTCCAGCTCTAGGATGTATTTTTGCACTTCTGCTTCTTTTCTATTTTTATCTATATTAATTTCTTTGTTCAATTTTAAATACTTTATTATGGAAAATTTCAAATCTACAATGAAAGTGAAAAATCCATATACCCACCATCTAGATTCTACAATGAACATTTTGCTAATTGCTTTATCACTATTTATCCATCGATCCTTCTATCCATGTTATATTTTATGTATTTCAAATTAAGTTGCAAACATCAATACATTTCACCTCTAAACACTTCAGCATTCATTCATTAATTAGAGTTCAATATTTGTTTATGGTTCTTTAATTTATTTTTTGTAACTTATCTAGCTCCTTTAGTCCAGCATTAGTTTATTTATTTTTCTCTTTTTAAATAATTGGTAAAATAACATTTATGGTTTATTGGCCAGCTATCATGTTTCAGGCCACTTTAGGGGAATTTTTTAAGATCAGGGGAGAGCCTTCTCCAGGCCCCAAATTAGGTAATAGATTGTTTTTCTAAGTCAACAAATGTAAGGTTCAGAATTCTAAGATACATGTCTTAGTTTGGGTTGCTGTACCAAAACACCATAGGCTGAGTAGCTTTTAAACAACAGAACTTTATTTCTCAAAATTCTAGAGGCAGAAAGTTTGAGATCAGGACACCAGCATGGTCGGGTTCTGATGAGAGCCCTCTTCCAGGCTGCAGACTGCTGGCATCTACTTGTATCTTCATGTGGCAGGGAAGAGGGAGCTTTCTGGGGTCTCTTCTATAAGAGTACTAATCCCATTCATGAGGACTCCACCCTCATGACCTAACCACCTCCCAAAGGCCCCACCTCCAGATACCATCACACTGGGGATTACGTTTTAACATGAATTTCAGTGGGACACAAACATTCAATATGGATATCAGTAAGAAAGGATTTTCGTTCAAGTCACTTTCCTTTCTTTTAAAAAAAATCTATTATTTTCAAATCAAAAAAGTATCAAGTAATAAGTCATTACCTATACATTTTTCTCAGCCCTTTGATAGTGAAGCTTCTCTCTTTACTGGTTCCCAAGCTCTGGGCAGAGGCGAATGTGTTGCCTCTCTTAGGAAGCGAGCACAATAAGAGGATCATCTACAGTTTAGCTACGTGGACATGATGTAGTGACTGCTTCTCTCCCTTCCACCTGCCTCCCTTCCTCTTGCTTATCCAGGATTGACAGTGATGTCATCTAACTACAGCTTTTCTTTCTCATTTGGAGCACTGAGAGATGAACTTGGTCTGTATGTTAACAAGAATACTATACTACAAATCAGTGAAATGTAAAAGCTAGCAAACTCTCCAGGCTTTGTTGTATCTTACATGTATTACCTCATGGAACTAGAGTAGCTTGAGCCTCATGTTTCACACTCTTCTACTGACAGTTCCCACTGGAAGGAAAATGGCCAAGAATGACCAAGAAGGTTCCTAGACCACTTTCTCAGGATTATCTAAGGATTCCTTTCACACAAGCATAGTATCAGTGTTTTAAATGAATCATTTCATGCAATTCTCACAACTTCTCTATGGGATAATTAGTGTTATTAATACCATTTACAGTTGATATAATTAAGAATTGAGGAGATTAAATAATTTCTTCAAGATCACATGGCTGGGAAGGAACAGAGCAGGGATATTTTGAACTTAGGTCTAATTCAAAGATATGATCATATTTATTATCCTGTATATTTTCCTCTAAGTACAGCTTTGGCTGCATCCCATATATGTCCTAACAACAATAATAAAGAGAGCATAACCCAATAAAATAAGGGGATTTTCTGCCAATGTTTTTCTCTCCCACACTTTTCTAGTTGCCATGGCTTCTACCCATGGAGCTGTTACAATGAATTTTTTTATTCCAAAAAACTGTTCAAGACCCAAAGCCTGACTTAAAGCATTTAGGTATTTTAAACCATAGTTTAAGGAAGAATTCATAGTAATGTAGGACTTTAGACACTGAGAGGCCTTAATCATAGAGTGTAGAACATTCTGGGAAAACATTTAGGACAGAAACAAAATTCCCCCTTCTGAAAAGGGAGATACGGTTGACATCTGCTGGTTTTTGGCTGCTCAGTGTGTGGAAGTCTTTGAGTGTAAAAGATTTTGAATCTAACTATGGAAGCTGAAGAGAGGCAGACATTCCTCTGTTCTCTTTCTGAAAGCTTGTGTGAAGGCATGTGATCCAGGCTCAGCCAAACAGGTGCTCCTGCCCAAGAATCTCTGAGTCTTGAGGAGCTGACCCAGAGGTGTAGAGAGGGGCTGGAAAAGATTCTGGATTGCTTGAATATTTATCCCCAAGAGACTGAAGTAAATGTGGCTGAATATCCATCAATATGCAAGTTTACATTTTCTACCATCAGTGGAATTTGGACTTGATCTATATATACAGAGAAACAGTTACCTTTTTACAAATCTAAACTGTGAGTGTTACACACTCGAAAATAAGTGATGTTTAAAGAGTGCTTTTAAGTATTGTCTCATTTAATTTAAAAAAATCCTCTAAGATCAGTGTTACTGTCTTTGTTTCAAGCACCTGGATCAGAATCACAGTCGATGGGCAGCAGAGAAAGAACATGAACTTGGGCCACATGACTTCAAGTCCATGCCCCAGGCTCTTAAGTGAGTATTCCAATTGCCATTCATCTATGAACACCTGTTTTGATTTCACCTTTCAATGCTCTAGAAAAGATTTCTTTTTAATAGTAACCTATAATGGAAAAGAATCTGAAAAAGTGAATCACTTGGTTATACATCAGAAACACTGTAAATCAACTATACTTCAATTTAAAAATAAAATTAAAAATAAATATGGCCATACAAAACCAAAAAATTCTAAATAGTTCAAAATTTTTTAGTTAATCTTTTGTTAAATTTTAGTTTTATTGCGCTGTGTTCAGAAAATTTGAACAGTTTCTACTTTAGGGATTTATCATGGTTTACTTTAAAGGCCTAATATTTGGTCAACTTTTATATTTGTTCCATAGAAATCTGAATAATGTTATCAAATGTAAATGGTCTTAACGCAAATTAAAAGGCGGATATTATCAGCCTAGATGAAAAGAAAGACTCAACTACATCTTATCAACTACAAGCTGGTCACTTTCAATGTAAAGCAGCAGCAATATTAAAATTAAAGAATGGAGTGGTGGTAAACATTTCTACAGTGCTTAATATTTGTCAAGAACATTCTAAGTACTTTACATGTATTAGTTCATTTATCCTCACAACCACCCTACGAGGGAGATACTAGTACTACTATCCCCATTTTACAGAGAAGACTGAGAATACTGAGTCAGTTAACTTGTCCAAAGTCACATTTGTCCAAAGTCACAGGAAGTGTATTTGCCTGACTTAGGGGAGGAAGTGAAGAGGGCAGTGCCCAGCCTTGCTGTTGCCCTGTTGGATATTTGAAGCCTTTGGTGTTACAAATTCTACCCTTATAATAGCAAGTCAGTTTACTTCAGTGCCCATTTATTGAAAGGTCTTCAAATTAGCTTCCTTCAATTAGGGTTTACTGAGCCCCTTCCCCAGTAAGGAGTTACTCTGGGGCGCCTCACCCAGGTGACCCAGGCTATGTCTTTATGCAAGTGCTCTTCTCACACAGGAGTGGGTCTGGAAGTTGAAGGGACCTACATACGCTGAAGAACTTGAATGGGCACAGAGGGGCCAGCAGCCCCAGCTGCTGAGGGAACAGCCTGAGAAAGGCAAGGAGGTGGGGTATCTCAAAGCATGTTTGGGGAATATCAAAAAGTCTAGTTTGACTGGAGCATGGGATGAAATTAGGGAGTTGAGAAGACAGGTCTGGAGCCAGACTTAAGGAGGGGGGGATTTGGCTTGGCGTGACAGGGACAAGAGGACAGGTCAGAGCGGCTGGAAGGAGCCTCCTTGGAATGGCCACGCAGGAGGGTTGGGAAGTACCCAATTCCAACCTGAGCTTGCCCCAGAGGGTGTGTGCTGGGGAGAGGATGGAAATGTCATTCGGAGCCCGATGTCACTAGGAAGGGGAAGGTGGCACACTCGGGGCTTTAGGTATTTGTGGGGGTCAAGCCGTGGCGGGAGAGCATCAACTCCTAGCGACGCGGGTCCAAGCCATCCCTCGCACCCCTACAGTAAGCCCCGCGGTCCCCGCAGCATCAGCCGCTGAGCATCTACCGGGAACCGGGTAGGAGGCGTGGGGTTCCCTCTACACCCCTATTCCGCGTCCTGAGGTAGGCAACTCGGGCCAGAGATCCGGGAGGCCCCGGGCTCCCTGTCTGCCCCTGGAGAGCCCTGAGCGGTCGTTGGGGTTCCCTTGCGGAGCAAGTTCTCCGGAGTCGGGCGGGAAGGCTCGCGGAGCGTGGGGCGCGTGGTGCCTCCTCCAGGCAGCCGGCGGGGTGACCCCAGGCGCCTCCTCCTGCAGCTGCCGCTGCCTTATAAGGCGGGGGCCGGGCCGCGCCGGGGGAGGGGTTGCGGCCGCCCTGCCTCCTCGTCGGCTCTCGGAGAGGCTCGGGGCCGGGAGTACAGCGCAGCGCAGCGCAGCAGGAGCCAAGCAGCGCGCGGAGCGGGCCATGGGCAAGTCAGGTGAGCCCTCCGGGCCAGCAGGGCCGGGGTGCTGGGATGGCTCGGGAGTCCGGGGTTCCGGGACTCTGGCCGTCACCCTTCCTGCGGGGGGCTGGATCCCCGGGGAGCAGGTAGACCACCTCCTCGGTGGGTACGTGGCGCTGCAGGACCACTAGTTGCGGGATGGAGGGGCGCACGGTGCAAAGCGCCAGGAGGCGCAGCGCGGGCAGTTTCCGGGGCAGCCAGGAAGCCGGGTGGCCGTCAGGCCACCGGGAGAGAGGGAGGGAAGGCGAGACCGCGGGAGGGTCCTCCAGTCTGCGAGCCAGAGATTGCGTCAGGGAGGGCTGCCAGGCGCTGATGGGATTAGCGCTCAGCGTCCGGCCAAGGCGTGGCTTTTGCTTTGTTTCAGGACAGAGTTAGAGTTGGAAAAAGCCACCAAACTGTGACAGCATCTCTTGCTGTAAAGCAGCTTGCCCCGACCAACCCTCCTAAAGACAGTTCTGAGCATCCTTTTCTTCTGTCGTCGCTCCTCCTCCCGAGTGCCCACTCTGTGCCAGGCTTTCTGCCGGGGTACACACTCTGGCTTCCCCTTTACTGACCTGTCGTGGCCCATCCTCACCCGAGTGACTGTCCCTGTGAATTCTCTGAAATGCAGATCTCCTCCTGCATTCCCTAACACCTTCCATCCCATTGTCCGTAGGTGAAAGAGTATACACTCTTCAGCCCCACCGTGGGGCCCTCTGGGAGCTGATCTTCACCCCTTCCCTCCCCTTGCACTCAGCTCTCCCGAGGCTGGAACCCTGCACCCTTCCCCTGGATTCCCTTCCCCAGCACCCCACCCACTTCTCTGAAGTTGAAAATTCTCCCCATCCTTCTTGGCTGAACTCCTGGGCTGGGAGCCTGTCCCTGATTTCCCTACCTACTGTATTCTTTGTTGCAGCCCTCCCAGCAGTCAGGTTGGGACTCTAGACCCGTGTCCCACGGACTCCCCACTTCTGGCAGCCAGGAGCCATGTCTATCTTAGCATAGTTCATGCCTCTCAGGAGGCTTTTAATGAAGAGCTGTTGAACAGAGTTCAAAAGTCCTGCTTCATGGGAAGTTCAGGTTGTCAGCCTCAGATAGGTAAGGCTGGGTCCATTCTTGAATATGTTCTCAAGAATTGGACTTATGACTTCCCAGTGTTGAGAGTCAGTGGCTTTCCCTGGCATTGGTCCTAACCTGCCTTATCTACAGTGACAGGCCTGGCTTTCCACCATGGCTCTGCTAATCACTTGCTGTGTGATCTTGAGCAAAGCCCTTTCCTTCTCTGAACCTCAGTTTCCCCATCTGTACAACGAGGATGGTCCATTTCATCCCCAGGATCCTCCACAGTATGGAAAGCTGACATAAGGAGTTGTCATGTAATTAAAGAATAGGATGATAAGTGGCATGACAGGTATGAGAGGGCATCTTGAGATCTTTAATTGGGAAATTCCTTTCTCTATAGATTAGGAGAAAATCCACAAATTCTCTAAAGTTACATTTTAATCAATTGCTTCTGACTTCTTCCCTAAGAAGCAGCTTTCCAGAACTGCTGGCTGCCCATTCTTCTCTCTGTTCATTCATCCCTCTCTCCTTCCCTCTATTCCTCCCTCCACCCTTTCCTCCCTCCCTCTCGTCCTTTCATTCCACCATCTATCAGCTCTGTACCAAGCTGTGGACCCAGAGCTATGTAGGGGGTGGCCCCTGTCCTCAGGGTTGTTCATTTGGATTGTAAAATGAATCATAAAGCTGATTGGGGGGATAGACAGGCACCACATGGGTCTAGCAAGGGGTGGAAAGTGACCCAAGCCAGGAAACAGGTGTAGATGAAGAACAGTGGGAGCTCAGGAGAGGGGAAATCTCTGCCCAAGGGGCCCACTGAAGGCTCCTGAAGGACATGGTCAGATCCCAGAGTGTTTTGGAAGTTTGAACTTTCTCTGAGACACCTAGGGTGTCATTGAAAGGCATCTATCTACAAAATGCAGGGCCAGAGCTGTACCAGGGTGGAGGGCAGATCAGATGGGGAGAGGCTGGAGGTGGGGTCAAGGAGAGGCTGCTGGTTACTCAGGCGAGAGGACAGAGGTATCTAAGGGATTGGGGAGGAAGCGGGGATGAATTTTCTAGATGGTATCCTCAAGCAGACTTGGTGACTAACTTGTAATGAATAAGAAGGAAAGCTCAGCAGTGTGAATCTGGGGCAGGAAGGTGGTGACACCCTCTAGGACTGGAGATGCAGAGTCCAGCAGGATGGTGGTGGAAGGCAGGTTAGAGCTGGTTCAGGCAGTGGCTACCTCCCCTCCTACCCAGGGACCTTCCAGGATGCTGGCCCATAGCCACATGCATTTTATTTGTCTCCCCCCAAGACTCTGAGCCTCCTGGATGGTTTCTGATTCCCCTAAGGATCTCCAAGAGAAAGTGACTTTTCTGGGTGACACAGGCCCAACCTTGACATTCCAGGTCACGAGCCTGAGGCTGTCTGTGGCCACAGGACAGGCAGGGGCTTTATGTGTTTCCCTAAAGGGGCTTTATGTGGTTCCCTAAAGACTTTCTTAAGGAGCCCACCTCTTCTGGACCTCATTGCTATAGAGGAGCCCATCTCTTTTTAATCTTTAACTTCAGATACACCCCAGAGCTGTTGGAGTAGTGGGCATTGCTAGGAAAGTGTCACATAACCAACACAGCTTAAATTCTAGAAGTCACTAGGCCCAGAGACTCCTAGGTCTTGCTCCTGGCCCTGGTCTTCCTGCTGGGCTTCAGTTTGCAGCTAAGCAGAGAAAGGCAGTGAATGGCCCGGAGCTCAGTGGCAGCCTCTAGTCCCTAGTAATAGTGATTACCAGTTATTCAGGTCCTACTGTGTGCCAGGCTTGGAGCTGATATTTCATATATGTTACCAACTTTTGTAACAGCCCTGCAAGGCACTTTTTATCAGTTTTATAGATTTACAGAGGCTGAGTACCTTGGCCAAGCTTATACCTGATCAGTAAGTGGACGAACTGGGATTTGCACCCAGCGCTCTGACTTCCCAGCCGTGCGCTGACCCCTCCACCACACCAACCACTTGTCATCCTGCCTCTCTCAGCCTGGACTCCAGCTGTACGGACGTCTACACACCCTCTAATTATCTCTAAGAATCTTATTGTCCCTCGACCCACATCTCCCACCCCCAGAGATTTTCAGAGCAGAAAGACCTGCGGGGAACAACTAATCCAGAAA